GAGGATAAGATATTTATGCGGTTAAGATGGAGTTATGACCGTCTAAGAAGTCCAGAGATCCAACAATGTTTTCTGTATTGCTCCTTGTTCCGGGAAGATTATGAGTTTTCTAGAAAGGAGTTGATTGAAGATTGGATTGATGAAGGATTGATTAATGAGTCGGGAAGCAGACAAAAAGCTTATGATAAGGGCCATTGTATTTTAAATAGACTTGAAAGGAACTACCTGTTAGAGAAAATTGTTAAGTCTGAAGTTAGGTTTAAGATGCATGATGTAGTAAGAGACATGGCTATCAAAAGCATTGGTCCTGAAGTTAGATATATGGTCAAAGCTGGTATGAAATTGACAAAGGTACCAAATGAGCATGACTGGGCAATTGATCTTAACAAGGTGTCTCTAATGGCCAATTACATTTCAGAAATTCCTGTTGGTTTCAATCCAAAGTGTCCGTCTCTGTCAACTTTGATATTGGCAGGTAATCGTAATTTGTCAAAGATTCCGAGTTCCTTCTTTGAAGGTATGGTTGGGCTTAAGGTTCTTGAACTTTATGGTACTGGTATTGAAACTTTACCTGATTCTATCTCTAACTTGGTGAATCTCTTTTTTGAAGGTATGGTCGGACTTAAGGTTCTTGATCTTTCTGGTACTGGTGTTGAAGCTTTACCTGATTCCATCTCTAACTTGGTGAATCTCTCTGCACTGCGGTTGAGGGAGTGCCAGAGGTTAAAGTACTTGCCTTCCTTAGCAAAGCTCAGGGCATTGAAGAAGTTGGATCTGTTTGGGGCAGGGATAGAGGTGGTTCCTCAAGGCATGGAGATGTTGGTAAGTCTTGAATATCTTGATTTAAATTGTCAAAATCTGAAAGAGATTCCAACGGGAATATTACCTAGCCTTTCCAGTCTCCAGTACTTGGTTGTATATCCAAGCAGCGGAATTACTAAAAGGAAACACATAGAAGAGGTTGCTAGATTGAGCAAGTTGGAGAGTTTGGAATGTGGAAAGAAGGGCATACAAGACTTCAACTATCTTGTCAATAAGGCTAAAGATTTTGAAAGTCTTACGGCTTATGATCTTCGACTGACAACAGGTGAAAGAAACATCAGAGATTGGGAATATGCTGATGAACATCGTAAGGTTTTAATTGCTGGGTGTGAGATTGGAGAAGAATGCATAGTGCTTCCAGATAAGCTTGAGGTTTTGAAGATCCATACTTGTAAAACCATGAAAAACATGAGAAGCAGCTTAAACAAAACAGTTTTGTTAGAAAATGCAACCGAGTTGAGAAGATGTTCTATTGCTTATTCTGGAGGGATAGAGTGCTTGGTTGAGTTAGACTCCTCATCCTTGTGTTGTCCAGTACTAGATAAGCTGGTAGAGTTGAAGCTTTCCAATTTGCCTGACTTGATTGTACTTGTGAGAGTGGAAGGAGTAGCTACACCACCGCACATCTTTCGAAATCTTAGAGAGCTTGATTTCTCGGAATGTTTGGGAATGAGGAAGTTGCTTCCACTTGAGCTACTACATGCCCTCCAAAACTTAGAGGTGATTAGAGTTGACAACTGCAGACAAATGGAGGAGATAATAGTATCTTCAGATTCAGATGATACATCATCGGATAAATTCATTTTTCCCAAGTTAAAGGAATTGAGATTGTCATTCTTACCCGAATTGAAGAGCATCTGCAGTGCCAAAGGAGTTATGGTTTGTGATTCTATTGAAGTTATTAGTTTAGTTTATTGTTCGGAATTAAAGAGGATCCCTTTACAGCTTCCTCTGCTTGAAAATGGCGAGCCATCTCCTCCTCCGGGTCTCAAAGAACTCGTGATGGATGCAAAATCAAAAAAATGGTGGGAGTCAGTGGTTGAGTTGGATCAACCTAACGCTAAGAACATACTCCAACCTTTCGTGGAATTTCGCAGATGGGGGTAAGGGGTTGATTGATTTATTCTAATTTGTATTTGATTTGTTGTGTTTCTTAAAATTTCTGTCATCTCACCTGAAAGCGGAGTTGTTGACAAATATTCAATTTTTCAGAATTTGGCCAACAAAGCCACGTGCCAATAAAACCCCTTCTTTCAGTACTCCACAACGGGAACAAAGCCAAAAATGCGTCTGATGTGGGAAGCCTATGTATTGTGGAGGAGATGAGATTGAGATGCATCCACACTTCATCCTCTGCTCTATCGTGTTATCTCATAAACTCCAACTATGTAAGTATCCATATTTTGACTTTGATCGTTTTTATTTTCGGGTTTTATACTTTCATTCCATTTATATAGAAATTAGTTTGTGGGTTTGGGTAGTAACAAAATCGTGGGTGATAAGATTGGCTAATGTTTGCGGTTGGAACGTTAATATTTCCTTCTTTCATTTGATTTTTTTGGTATATTGAGATTTCTCAACATCTTGCAAACCAGGTTGGTAGTATGGAATTAATTCCTATAACATCACTTCCTAGATCTGTTGTTAGCTCCAGATTTCTCAACATGTTTTAAAGCTCTGCTATTTGTTTGTAGGATCTTTTCTCAAGCAAAGGCAACTTCTCTTATCGGAACAGCAAAGCAAAAGAAAGGGGGACTGGACTCACCCACTGCCAATAGTCTTTGATTTCATTGACAATAATGTTTGATTTTTTTTTTTACCAGTTTATGTGTTTTTTTAATTGTATTGGATGAACTTTGTTTTGTTTCTTTTGGTAATTTGTTTGTGTTGTAAGTTGTTAAGCAGGTCATGTTATGGGATTTCTACTCTTGTTTCTTTGGTGCTTCATTGCTCCATATATTCAATCT